ACATTGGCCATTCTTTTACATGAAACAAAGCAGGACCAACTCTTTCAATTGTCTTTTAGTTTGGAATGGGGAATACTTGTGTGAAGTGTAGAAAAGTCAAATGTTTTTATACTATTGCAAGATCAAAGAGTTTGAGATTGTATGTACTCTAAAAGATCTTTGGAATTTGTTAGTATCCACATCTGATGTTTCACAATAAATTCGCAGTCCGGCTATGATTGCTGAAAAATTTGATGTTAATAATCGAGAAAGAGGTTTCTTGGAGCACTTGAAAGACCCAGCAATATAACGTTGTTTGTAAGGACACTTATGTAGTTTAGGTATCCAATACAGTAATGGATGATCCAGTTCATCATCTTTGGTTGAAATTCCAAAGAAACATAGAACAGACCTTTGATTATCCAGGATTTCCTCTTTGGTAAGTGTCGTGGGGTATATGTTGAGTTTCCATGTGAATTGTCAATACCAAATTCACTAATCAAGCAGTTTATGTAATATGATTTACACACACAAACGATGTTGTTTGTAGCTTTATCTGCAGGGACAACAACATATTTGTCATGGAGGTAGGACAAGTGTTTTGCAACATTTGGGTCTTTGAAGATTGATGAAGGATGGGTATTCATAGACCCATTCAGTTTTTTTTATTCTGATTTGTATCAACGGCCTCACAGCCTTATCCATTCGGAAAGAGAATCTAAGTCTTCATTCTCGCGTTTAACCCATTGTCTGGCATAATCCTCGACTGAATCCATCAGTATTTTGAAGTTGTGTTTCTAATTGATGGATTTAGGCTCCCGATATTTCGGGCCTTTGGATAACACATTTCGTAGAGAAATGTTATTTACAATGTTTAAATCACCAGTAATAACGTGGCTAGTCAGATTACATATGAATCGGGCACTAGAATATAACGTTACTGTAACAGAGAAAAAGGACTATTTGATAATGAATAATTAGAACTGTATACTTTCGATCATGACAAAAAGTAGTTTTATCTAAAAAAAAAACCCCAAAAAAAAAACATAGAAAGTGTTTTATTTAACTTATTCATCAGATGAAACCCTTTTGTATGTGTTACAAACCGATCGGTATTGACTGAAAAATCGTCGATGTTGGACTCTTCGCATGAAGAATTACATGTAATGTATTTTTCTTGGTTATTTTCCACACTCACTGGCTCAAATTGATGAGGTTAAGTGTCTTTTGTTTGCCAGTAATCGGAAAAACTGCTGTCAATACCGTCCATCGTTAAATGACGTAAGCACGACCACTTTACCGTTATCTAATTAAAAATCATTGATTATGACAAGCGCTTGATTTTTTTACCGACCAGCAAAATTGTACGAAACATGCTTTAAGACTAATATTTGATTTATTAAAAAACAAATATATATATAAATATATATATTAAGTCGTGTCGCTCCTTTTATTTTCGCATTTCATCAAATAAGTGACCGCTTTAACTAAAATTGTTGCCCCTTTTTACTGAAGAAAAAATGATTTACGAAAAAAGCCTCTTAAAAACTAGGTGATCGTGACGTAGGAATGTGATCGGATGTTTTATTTTTGACATTTATTAGACCTCCTTACTACTATGCAAAATCTTTCATAAAGTGGTTACACGATTTTCACATTATAACAAATCTTAGTTCATGATAGATGAATTAACAGTTGATTTTTAACGTCCTTTGGCAACCATTAGAGATCTATTTATCTATGACGAGAACATGTGAATGTGATTTATAATTCAGAAGTACCGATTTACCGTTTTTGTCTCGCATTGACGGAGTCAAAAAGCGAGACATAGGTATGCTGTCGGCGGCGGCGGCGGCGGCGGCGTCGTCAACAATGTATTAGTTTGTGATAAGGTCTAGTTTAAGGTGAACCACTAGTGGTTGGTCAATGATATTTGGTATGCAGTTGTATTAGCACTGGCACATCTCATTTCCATGGAAATTATTTGAACCTGCCCCCTCAGTTATGGTCTATTCACTTTGAAACTTTTGCTTAGTTTACATGTATCAGTTTTTGCTTAGGTCAGTTTATGGGGAACCACTAGTGGTAAGTCAATGATATTTGGCATGCAGTTGTATAAGCATTGGCATATCTCATTTCCATGGAAATTATTTGGCTCCGCCCCCTCAGTCATGGTCTATTGACTTAAAAACCTTTGATTAGTTAACATGTATTAGTTTGTGATTAGATCAGTTTAAGATGAACCGCTAATGTTAAGTCAATGATTTTTGGTATGCAAATTTATTGGCATTTGCAAGTCTCGTTTCCATGGAGATTATATAGCCCCAGCCGCTCATCATGGTTCATTGACTTTGAAACTTTTACATAGTTTACAAGTCAATGTTTGTGTTTAGGTTTGTTGAAAGGGAACGACTTATGATAAGTCTATGGTATCTGGTATGCAGTTGTATTAGCATTGGCACATCTCATTTCCATGGAGATTGTTTTGCCATGTACCTTCAGTCATGGTTCATTGATTGTTTAGCCATGTACCTTCAGTCATGGTTCATCGACTTTGAATATTTGAATAACTAATGTGTTAAATTATTTCTATTTTAATTTTAACATTTGCATTATCAAAATTACAAAAAGGCGAGACATATCTCTGTGATAACAGTTCATTACTTCTAAAGGACATTGTCTGTAAGAACGAATGTGAAATTATGTAAATTGCTGAAAGACGAATTACGCTGTTGAATCAATGTAAAACGTTCTTAATTCAGTTTACATTTCTTGATTTAACTTCGATATGAAGATCAAGCAGATACAAATTTCGGCGGCTCAAGTATAACATTAATACTTTTTTAAGCAATGAAGCCAAAACGATCAATAGGGAAGGATATACACAAGAGCTGGATGTCCATCTGTGATGTGTCGAACCAAATTCAAACGTATCGAATTGGCAACTCTCAGGTAAACATGTATTTATAAAACCCCTAACGGGAGAGATTGTGCTTGATTTTCATATGATACAGACATAATCTTTCAATCAGTTTAATTGAGGTCTGGAGCTGGCATATCAGTAACTGCTAGTAGTCCTTTGTTAATTTATGTATCATTGTCATTTTGCTTAGTTTCTTCTGTTACCTATTCTGACATCGGACTCGGACTTCTTTTAAACCGAGTTTTACTGTGCGTATTGTGTGTGTTTGATTATTCTATATTGGCTAGAGGTATAGGGGAGGGTTGAGGTCACACAAAACATGTTTAATCCCTTCGCATGTTTGCGCCTGTTCCAAGTCAGGAGCCTCTGGCCTGTGTTAGTCTTGTATGTTTTTTTTAAATTTTAGTTCATTTATATGTTTCGGAGTTTAGTGTGACGTACGTCCATTTTCATTGAACTAGTACACATTTTTGTTTAGGGGCCAGCTGAAGCCCGCCTTAGGTGTGTTGAAGACCCTTGGTGGCATTGGGCTGTTTTCTGCTCTTTGGTCGGGTTGTTATCTCTTTGACACATTCCCCATTTCCATTCTCAATTTTATTTGAATATATCAGTTATAAATAAAGTTTTCTCCATTGGTAGTTATGTTCCAGAATATTGTTTAACCGTTATCGTTCTAAATTGGCAAATAACATTTAGCACTGTGCAGCATGCCGGCAATATTTAATTTTTGTTTCTGCTATATACAGTTTGCGTATTTCCAGACATTATATATCTTGATAGATTACTCTCAAAGACGTGAAAATATCGATCCACTCACGGAGAAACATTATTCTGAGTCCGATTGTATCAACTCCTGCGCTTACTCGTAAATATCGTGTGCAGCAGGAACGGATCAAATGATAATTAGAAATTAGATGCAAATTTGGAGTCCTTGAACCGATAACCGATTAGTATGCTACATCGACATTCAATTACACGATGATACATTCGAAACCTTAAATGCCATGCTTTTTTAAATTAATCAAACTAACAATAACGGAAGGTAAACTAACTCGTAGGGGATATAAAAATCTGCAAAGGGAAGAAAATACTCTTATTGGACAAACATTTCTTTTATGAAACAAAAAATACCGTATAGAACAGAAAATTTCCTATACAGCATAACACATCCTAAGGGACAAACAATACGACATTGTTGATAATCCTTTTGAATAAATATAACCATATACATGTAGCAATGTATAGGAAAAAATATTTTGGAAATAATCCCTTAGGATTTTTAATTCTTAAGGATAAAGTTAATACCCTACAGGATATGAAAACAATCCTTAGAATTTAAGATCCTATATGATCTTTTGGTACTTTTTACCTCTAGCGCTGAAATCAGGTGAAGCATGAACAAATTATTCTGGCCATGTATTACCTGTACCATGACAGAAATGTTTGCAGAATTTGGTTGACAAACCTTAAAAAATAATATATTGACCCGGATTTGCCCTCATGAAAATTGCATGTCAATGTAAGAAGCCATTTATCAAAAATAAGTAAACCCACTTTAGATAATTCAAACAAGTATTATTTTTTTTAAATCTGTAGCTTCTGGTTTGATTCTAGGTCGGTCAAACGTTGACAGATAGCTGCTGATCCTTATTGTTGGTACCGGGGCTCTAGTCTACAAATCGAACCATGGTGAAAATAATTAAATATAGCGCAACATTCTGTAGTTCACTGGCTTGGTAACGACAAATGACGACGTTCCGATTTACTGTTTTTGACCTTAGAATATCAAGGAATATCAAGTTTGAGAAACAATTTATCGGCTGATTCAATTAAACGGCTACACTTCTCGACCAGAAATAAGGAGTTTTAATTAAATTATCGGACATTTAAATTTTGACATGATAATGTTTCGATTTCTCTATCAAGCAAATGTTTTAAGAAAATTCATAATTTGAAAAGAAAAGAAATAACAGTTTGTTGTTGCGTTTCCTTTAATTTTGGGAGAGAATAGTTTATTGATTGATAGTTTATACTGAAGTGATTTTGTTTAGTGCATATCAGTTTTAGTCCTTTTATATACATTGATGAAAAATGTTACCTTAGATGATTTATCCATGGGATCCATTCCTTTTTGTTCTATCAGCCATTTTGTTAACTCAATGTTTCCACTCCAAACGGCCAAATGTAATGCTGTTTTCCCGTCCTGTAATGATGATTAAAGTATTATGTCTTGGTGTTTGATGCTAGTTAAATAAATCAGTGTTTAGTTACAGTGTATGATTAACACTGTCATATAATGATAATTAATTATTATGTTGTAGTGTTTGATAGTAGTTAGATAATTCAGTGTTTGCGTCAGTGTTATATGATTACTTGATGTCCTTTCCATAGTATTCATTACTTCTGTAAAAAAAACATATACAAACATTCTAACCGCGTGTATACAGCAACCCAATGACACACATACTACAATACATGTACAGGTCTTCACTAATTCCTTCTGGGGTTTTATTTCTTATTAGGTGAATGAGAAAAAAAAGAAAGAAAAAAACACATGAAGCTTGAAGACAGGTTCACGTTGCAGAAAAAGGTTCAACCATATCGAGTGCACCGCAGTCGATTTTATTTCAAATACCAGCACACTATAAAATATGACGAATGAGCACAAATGAAGAGATCACAAGCGTGCAATCAATTCAAATTCTATTGTTGTTCATCTGTATTTCATTATCTTATATTATTTCAATGAATTTTAAAAGAATTAATTATAATCCCAAATATTATATATTTTATTTGTGAAAATGAATTAATATAGTTATAATATCTAAATTCATCACCATGAAATGTCTGGAGATCAAGAAATCGATCAGACCTATTCACCTACTATACACAAATATTCACAATTTTCCCGTGTGACGCAGGCCCCCTCTTTCCTTCCTCGTTCTCCAAAATTGACCTTAACTCGGCGGTTGTTTTGCAAGAGACGGTTATCGTTTACCCAAACCGTACCACCTGCATACCCTTCCCTTTTCTGTTTTTTTTTTTTCTGCAAGGTTCGTGTCGCTCTTTTTTCTTTTAAGTTTACTTGCGTATTGCTGTTCTTTGATGTTTTTTTTTTTTCATGTTACCGAAATATAATTTTGTCCCTCGATTTCCCTTTGCAAATAACGCTTTCTTTTTTCTTTCAAAACAAAGCATAGTCAGTGTACGTATCTGTGTTTCTTTGCTTAATGTATTATTACATTCAATCAATTTTACCTTTGAGATCTAAACAATAGTGGAGTATTTGAAACTGTTTAAATACATTGGAAAGAAACAAATGTAAATCGTATTTTGATGTTATATAAAGTACAATACTTTTATTAATACCCCACCCTTTCCTTTTTCAATGAATTCAATGCAGGAAAGGGTTTTATGTTCTTAATAAAACATAACTACAAACTGTCTAAAACTTATTTAACAAACATATGATTAAATCTAGCACCTACGTTTATTTAATTTCAAGAGAGTACATCGGTTTCTTAAGAAACGATCGCTACGAACAAAGTGCGAATCGGAATATCGATTTATGTATTTAACCTGCGTTAACGTGTTCCTTTTTCTGTGTCCCATATTCATCATGGTTGATAAGCGAAGTTTTGCATTACATATAAACCCGGGGGTACCGATTTACCGTTTTTACTTCCAAAGGACATTGTCATTGAATGTGAAATTATGTAAATTGCTGAAAGACGAACTACGCTGTTGAATCAATGTAAAACGTTCTTAATTCAGTTTACATTTCTTGATTTAAGTTCATTTTGAAGATCGAGCAGATACAAATTTCGACGGCTCAAGTATAACATTAATACTTTTTTTAAGCAATGAAGCCAAAACGATCATTAGGGAAGGATATACACAAGAGCTGGAAGTCCTGTGATGTGTCGAACCAAATTCAAACGTATCGAATTGGCAACTCTCAGGTAAACATGTATTTATACTAAACCCCTAACGGGAGAAAATGTGATCGATTGATTTTCATATGATAAAGACATAATCTTTGAATCAGTTTAATTGAGGTCTGGAGCTGGCATATCAGTAACTGCTAGTAGTCCTTTGTTAATCTATGTATCATTGTCATTTTGCTTAGTTTCTTCTGTTACCTATTCTGATATCGGACTCGGACTTCTTTTAAACCGAACTGTGCGTATTGCTGTGTGTTTGTTTATTCTATATTGGCTAGAGGTATAGGGGAGGGTTGAGATCTCACAAAACATGTTTAACCCCGCCGCATTTTTTGCGTCTGTCCCAAGTCAGGAGCCTCTGGCCTTTGTTAGTCTTGTATGTTGTTTTTTTTTTTTTTATTTTAGTTCATTTATATGTTTCGGAGCTAAGTGTGACGTCCATTTTTATTGAACTAGTACACATTTTTGTTTAGGGGCCAGCTGAAGCCCGCCTCAGGGTGCGGAATTTTCTCGCTGTGTTGAAGACCCACCGGTGGCCTTGTGCTGTTTTATGCTCTTTGGTCTGGTTGTTGTCTCTCTCCATTTCCATTCTCAATTTTATTTGAATTTAATTTTTGTTTCTGCTATATACAGTTTGCAGACATTATATATCTTGATAGATTACTCTCAAGGACATAAAAAAATATCGATCCACTCACGGAGAAACATTATTCTGAGTCCGAGTGTATCAACTCTTGCGCTTACTCTAAAACATCGTGTGCAGCAGGAACGGATCAAATGATAAAACGAAATTAAATGCAAATTTGGAGTCCTTGAACCGATAAAATATTAGTATGCTACATCGACATTCAATTATATGATGATACATTCGAAACTTCAATGCCATGCTTTTTTTAAATTAATCAAACTAGCAATAACGTAATCTATGTCTATTGTTTCCTCCCACTTCCCAACTCCCAATGAATGAAATTGACCCTACAGTAGTTGATTTATAATTTTAGTCATGTTTAATTATTTTGTAAATCTGTTCTTGTCTATACCATTAGGAAGGAAAGGTTTCTCTATAAATAAGTTATCAAGATAATAGGCAATGAAACAACAAAACTCATAAGAGCCCAACTTGCCAAAAGAGACCTTTACTATCCAAATTAATTTTATAATTTATTAAATATGTTTTTTTTTCTTTAGTTGGTTGATTGGGATTTGCACGGAAGCATATTAGGGACAAAGTAAAAAAAAAACATATATAATTGAACTTTTTTCAAGGCAAAATTTTGAAAATTGAAATATTAAAATTTCGACTTGAAGTTGTTGAAATTTTGAGAATTCAAATCTTGAAATTTAACTTAAATTTGAAGTTTTGACACTTGAAAAGTGTTGGGTTGTTGAATACAAAACCTTCGAACTCGGGGAGAGCAAGCTGCCGGGACAACCATTGCTAATTGTTAAGGATATTATGAACATCAGTCGTATTCAGAAATCAAAACTTGTATGCTGCTGTTTTCCCAAAACATATTTTGAATGTTGAATTTAAGGAATGCTCTGATTTTACAAATTGAATCTTTCTCTTTTGCTTTCTATTGCTATTACCCTGCATTTCCTGTAATATTGTTCGATGAACAGCCAACGATCGGAATTTAATTTTAAGATAAACATTAATAAAATCTGTATGAATTTATGTACATGGGAATTTATGAATCGTGAATTCGGTCGTTTTCTAGCTATAACCCTTGAATTTATGAAATTGACATTATAATTTTTATTATTGGTATAATTATTTTGTTCATCTACGTACCTCGATATGCATGTTTTTCACCACAATGTATACAATTTCTTGTAAAATTGCGAAAAATAACGGTATGGTCATATTTTGTATTTCTAAGTTTAGATAGAGAGTCTAAAAAGGGGGATGTGCACAACAATTTCCCACAATTTAACTTTGGACGTCTTATTACACAATAATAACTACATGTATATAAACTTTTTTTCAAATATTGAATGCGCAACCAAATCTCTGTAAATTTATCCATGTTTGATTTATACAATTTATGTTTCTGACGGCAGTTGGTGGACATCAGTTTAATGTAGGCGTGGCTACCTGTCACTTTTCTTCCATCAGCTGTCCTATTGGACAAACCTGTGTGCGATGATGCTTGAAAACTGGCAATGACATTGTTGTAGTTTTTTTGACAATGTATAGAAAAATTATGTTGTTGTTACTGTGGGCTTGTCATCAAAAGGGGAACTTCGAACATAAAAAAAATGCACTAAGGATATAGTACACTGTATAATTCAATTCAACTTCAAAATAAATGTTCACTATTTCAAAGAAAATCTTATATGCTATCTATAAATATTTGTTTTAAGACTAGCCAACTTGTAAACCTAACACTAAATCAAAAATAATTCCATAAACTTGAAGCAAATACACGCTCGAGGAGAGCTACAAAAAGGAATAATGTGGTCTATGAACGAAGAGGCCATATTGATAAATTCGTGGAAACTTGTTTTTATCGTGTCAAATCGAATATTTCAAAAACTTGTCACTTGATTTTCAGCCGTTTCATTTCCTCTACTTTTCAAATGTATATCTCTGTGAATTGAACATGTTTCAATTATTTATCTCAGGACCTTACGCACTCAACAGCCATTTATTAATCGATATTTTCATGGTGTTGGGAAAGGGAGAAACCTTATCAAGAAGTTTAGAAAATGTTTCCTTCTTATCACAACTAAGCTGTTCTAAAACTACACGTCATATTGGTTTGAAAGGGGGACCCTTCAATAACACTTACATCGCTCTCTAATCAATAACACTTACATCGCTCTCTAATCAATTACACTTACATCGCTCTCTAATCAATAACACTTACATCGCTCTCTAATCAATAACACTTACATCGCTCTCTAATCAATAAACCTTGGTGAAAGTATCACGACAACAATTCATTTACAAGTAATGAAACATAAAATCAAATCCTACTTAAAAAATCTAATCGATGAGTTCATTTTCTAAAATTAAGGGACGTTTTATCTTAGAAAGCTCCACTATTTGATTCACGAAAAGTGCAGTTAAGTTTCACCGTTGACATGTGTCACCGCACAGTAATGTAACACTTTGGCATGTGTCATCGCACAGTAATGTTACAAATCATATATAGCCACGCCTAACTCATAAACACATTTAATCCACTCAAAGCTACGCTTTTCGTGAATCAAATACGGTAATTCGTAAAAGGCGTGCTACATATATAACATA